CCCTCCCTCCCTCCCTTCCTCCCTCCTTATTTCTTTTTCTCTTTCTATTTATTACGATTCTTAATAACTCTCAATGCCAGAGACAAATAATGCTCTTATTAATTTACCTGGTGCAAACACACTGAATAAGTGCCAGTTCAATAAACAGAAGGAGTGACGTGATATGTTTGTCTGCGGAATTAATTAATGCACTTGAATACACATACCAGATAATTACGCACACTGTAATGTTTAGCATATCAATTCAATAAAAGTAGTCTGATCAATGTATAATGAAAAACTCATTTTTCAAATAAATTTTCTTTGTTTGAGTTAATTTTAACAATTGCATACATAAATAAATCAATACTTTTAGACTAAAATGTTATTTTTCATTTTTTAACAAGATATGAGACTGAGTAAACATTATATATTATTTAATTAACAAATTTTATTAACAAAAATAATAATCAATTATCATGAATTATTGTAAATATTCAGAAAATAATTTTATTTTGTCTCAGATAGTTATTAACCGTTATAATTTATTAAATTTTTATTATATCAAAATATGCTTATGTCAGAGTGATTACTAATTATTTTGGACACGCAATGTTCACGCGGTCGATTACTATTCTGGAATTTGCTCCTGACTCATCATTGAAGTTTTTAATGTTATCTTGCCATTATCGATCAGTGAACGAAGATCAAAGTCTCTAATGAGAGATAATAATTATTGAAATTAACCTTCCGAAGATTAATGTTCTCATAGAGGGTAAAGAATGCATCTTATTTTTGATCCTATCAAAGATCTTTGATGCTACTCTTTGATTTTTGATCAGGGAATGGAAAGTTACTTTTTAAAAATAACTAGTTACAGTTACTCGTTACCGAGTAAAAAATGTAACTAGTTACAGTTACAGTTATCGCTTTTTAAAAGTAACTCGTTACAGTTACCGTTACTTGGAAAATAACTTTTCGTTACTTTTCCGTTACTTTTTTAAAATCAATTAAAAAATGTACTTTTGCATTTTTTTTTTTTTGTAATACTGACAAATATATAGTTTTATTAAAAAAAAAAAAAACAATGTAGAATGGCTCAAATAATAAATTAAATAAAAGTAAAATGAGAAGGGTTACGAGCCAAAAATGAAACAGTTTATTTCCGATAAGAACGACGATGACAATGTAATTAAATGTATAAATACCAAATATATTAGAACAATAACATGGATAAAACAAGATAAAAACAAGCGACGTTTCGACACTTATTGTCATCGTCTTTTAAACTGTTTCGCTTTTGGGTTCGTAGCCCTTCTCATTTTACTATTATTTAATTAATTTTTTAATTTTTTTTAAACACAATTTTGTAATTCTAAAACCTGTAAAATATGCAGCAAACTGAAATATTTGTATGTCCTATGTATTACATAGAAAATAGAAGTGTAAAATAATTACTGAATCATAATGTCTAAGGGGTTTCAATTCTTATTGATAAGCGCTATAAATAGCATGTATCCAATCGAACCGTGTTCAATCGTGTGCAAAGTAACGACAAAAGTAACTGTAAATTTCGTTACCGTTACCCAAAAAATGTAACTCGTTACCGTTACAGTTACCAAAAAAAGAAAGTAACGCAGTTACCAGCAAAGTTACCAAAAAAGTAACTTGTAACTGTAACTTCGTTACAAGTAACGAGTTACTTCCATTCCCTGTTTTTGATGATATACCGTTTTTGGACGCACATATAGATTAATATTGCGTGCATCTGTTTTTTTACTATTTCCTACAGACCTGCAATAATAAAGTATTTTTGTATTACGCAACTTGTTGTATGTAGGATGACTTCCCCTTACCTCATTTCTCTCTTCATAAATTGAAACGGATTTCGTAGTAACGACAATCAAATAAATTAGTGTTGCAAATAACAATTCTATACAAAATAAAATAACTATTCTAAACAGTTAATAGTAATAAAATTATATCAGAAAGTAAAATCTATAAATTATTCTTAATCTATAATTCTTAATCTAATTTTCCTTAATTGATTTTTTCTACCCATATTTATACAATATGTCAACACACGTTAATTTAATTGATAAACAAATTATTATCTCAGATTAAAAATATATGAAATAAGATTTTTTTAAGTGTTATTATATTTATTATATAATTAATGCTAATATTTTAAAATTCTATTTTAAAATTGAATATTTCAATATTTGAAATTTATTGAAACAATTAGGTTCAATTTTGTTTCTTTAGATATAATTATTGTTGCATTCTTCGAAGTCTCACAAAACATATTTTTGTTAATCCACAGTCCACAGTATAATTTACCTAAATTGTTTTATCAGATATAATTTTCACTTTGATAAATAATCTTTCTTTATTTGCAACTAAATTAAATTTTTCAATAAAACTAGTAATAACAGTATGTTTTTCAACATTATAAAAAATTTAAGAAAGAAAGTTTTAAGGTATAAAGTCAATCGTAAAAGAATTTATTTATTAGAATTATACAAACTCTAATATTTGTTAAAGCTTTACAGCTAGAATTTTAATAATCCTTATACACAACAAAGATGTAAATAATTAACGTGTTATACGCTTGATAACTGACCACGTTTATCGTATTACAGTACGGCCGACAAAACATAGAAAATGTGAAGAAGAGAAATGGTACTCGGGATCCAAATGAGGATCTTAGCACAGAAGAGGAATGTGAGTCACAAACGATCACGGAAAAAGATTCTACGATAACATCACCTAAAATGCAAAATGGGAATATAAGTAATTCGGTGATAGCCAGGTCGAAAGACTTAATCTTGGTCCCTGAGCCGGAAATGCATAATTACAAAAATTATGTTAACGAATCGAACCTGAAAAACGACCATAAACCATCAATAATGGATGACAAAGAGGTAAATTAATGGAAAATTATAGAATAGATTATATTTTTATTAAGTTTTACTAAATAAAAAAATTAATCCTATTTTTCTCAATTATTTCTGAATATTTCAGGATAACCTTAATCAGAGAAACTCTTTTGAAACGCAAATCGGATTTGCGACAAGTTGTTTGGATTACATCAGAGCCGGCGTTGAAGCAATTATAGAAGACGAAGTGACTTCACGCTTTGAAGCTGAAGAACTTAAGGTAATATTTTATAGACTGTAATAATTATTTGTATAATTTGCATATTGATAATTAACATGTTTGGATAATGTGTGAATGTGTCTTGTAGAATTGGAACTTGTTAACTCGAACGAATAGACACTACGAATTTATCTCCTGGAAATTAACATTTATATGGATATTCGGATTCGTTATGCGTTATTGTTTCCTGCTACCTTTAAGGATATTTATCTGCTTTGTAGGGGTAAGTTTGATATTTATTTTATATATTATGCTTATTATAATAATGCTGAACATATAATAGTAGCCAAAAATTGATAAATAATCGATAGTTTCCTGATACGATCCTATTTATTTAGCGATATAAAATCAATTTCCTTTAGGTAATAAAATTTATAGCAGATATTAATCTCCTGCAAAAAAGTTAAATGCATCTTTAATATTTTTGCATTTTTGACATACGTTTTAGATTTGCGGTGCTGTCAAATTAAGTTTAAGATATTTGTCATAAATTTACAATTGTATACGTACTAATGTCAAAGCTTCTTAGGTATTATATCTAGTATTCGTAACATTTTTAATCGGCTTTCTGCCGAATGGCCGCATAAAACTTTGGGCGAACAACCAGGGCTCCCTTATTGCATTCAGGATAATATCCCGTTCTATGTCGAGTATGATCACGATCCACAATCCAGAATACAAACCAAAGAATGGAGGAGTGTGCGTGTCGAATCATACGTCTACCATCGACGCCTGCATTTTATCCACGCAAACGACTTTCTCTTTGGTAATATATCGTAGACGGAGCAATATATTTATAAGCTGATTTCAAGCAACGCATTACCATTGTTTCGTCACAGCGAACATATTTTCTATTCGTTAATAGCTTTGCATTATTTTAATTTTGTCATATTTGGGATTTGGGAATGATACCAGAACAAATTATCATATTCATATGTTTGACATTTTATATTTGTAACATACGTACATATCGTGATATTCATATAATTCATGTTATTAAAAAACTGTATGAAACAGACAGTATATGGTTTTTTATCCATGATATATAACACTGAATATAAAGGATAATATTTTCTTCATGTTTCGTGATTTCTATTACGTAACAAAACAATGTGATTTTAGTCGGATCATTTTTCATAATATATAGGGTGACCATCCGTACTCTTTTTCCCGGACTGTACTCTTTTTGTGGGCGTCCGGGAGCGTCCGGGCGGGTTTTCTATGTGCACTCTTTTTTTGTACTACTTTTGGGACTGGATAACGAGCTTGCACTTTTTGTACTCAGCTTCTCTCTCTTAAATGCCCTAGCCGAGTTCGTGAATATCTAGTTAATATCAAGTCAATGGACTGATGAAAGAAATCGACTGCTTTTAGAATCTGTAAGAGGAATGATGTTAGTGCAATTCAACCTAAAACATGTTACGTGTTCAGAATTTTACGCACATCTTCTTCAAAAAGATTTATTATCTGAGTGAGATTGGTAGATCAGATAAATATAAGAAATAATAAATGTAAGTGACTTTACATTAGACTTATTACAATTATATTTACAATATAAATATTATGATTTACAGTAAGTCGTTAATGATGTAATATTTTAACGAAAAAACTTGTGTTAAAACTCGTGATTAAAATGTTCTTGTAATAAATAATAGGATTGAAAATTTTTATTTATAAAGAAGGTAAAAAGAGATGAAAAAAGTGTTTAACAGTAAAACATGAAATATATAATTGATGCAATGTCATGTATACCAAAAGCCGGTTCATGTCATGCATTGTATGTTTATTTATTTTATCTTTTTTTTTTTGGTCGGTGGTGTACTACTTTTGTACTACTTTTTCACTACAAATGTCCTACTTCACAAATATACCTTATGATCACCCTAATAATATATGATCGAGGATCAGAAGTTTGTTACTAATGTTACAGAAGTTATTGCACATTACTGGTAAATGTTACAGGTAACGTGTCCTGTAACTTTGGTTTACAGGTAATACCTACTCAGCAACGATAGAGAGGGAATCCCACGTTTCTCAGGTGCAAAGCTTGTGGTTTACAGGTGATGTGGCTGACAGTGTGTACTGCAGTAGTGGGCTACGTTCCCGAGGGTAGTTTCAAGCGGTGGCTCAACTACAAAGTCTCCATAATGTGCTTTGCTGTCTTATCCAGTGCTCTGTCTTCAGTCATCACCTACAACAATCCAGAGAACCGCCCTGTCAGAGGCATATGTGTAGCTAATCACACATCTCCTATTGACGTACTCGTACTTATGTGTGATAACTGTTATTCATTGGTATGTTTCCAATAGGTCGCTAATGGATAGGAATATTTTTTACAGCTGCTTTTTTACACAAACACAATTCTTTTGCTTTGCTTATCCATAATACTTTTGCGAATATCTTTAAAACGATGTATTCTGTAACTTTATAAACATGCTAGCATTTCATTATTGCCAATAGTTTTGTTGCTTTTCATTGTTGCTTTATTAAAATGTTCGAAAACGCGTTCTCTTTTCTCATCGGTTACAGATTTGATGAAGTATATGTATTTGACATTGATTTTTTCTTTGCAAAAATAGCATGAAAAAATCGGGTATGTTAAGTTAGCACCCCAACTATAGTACTCAGGAGTTCTGATTAGAGATCCCACTTCCTTTTGACGAGACGAAGAGTTCCCTATAGTTAATAACAAGAATTCCGCTCAATAAATATTTTTTTTGCATTTTTTTAAAATGGGGTGCTAACTTTTTATCGAATTTCAAAGTGGAATAGTTCTGAGCGGCTTAATAGCTTCAATTTGCGATTGCCTAGAGTTCCTGATATGTAAAAAAAATTTTCGAATAATAAAAAAAAATAAATTTTTGAAAAATTAATTTTTGAATACAATAGTTCTGATGATAATTCCTGCTTCTTTTTGACGATACGAAGAGTTCTCTATGATTTTTAATGACATATGCGCTTAATAATCATTTTTTAATAATTTTTTAGAAATGATGTGCTAACTTTTTAACGAAATTTAAGGTCGCATAGTTCTGATCAGCTTAACAGAACTATTTTGTGAATACCTAGAGTTCTTGATACATAAAAAACATTTTTGAAATATAATAAAGTTTAAAAAAAATAGTGGAAATCTTTGAAAATTTTTTTGAGAGTACCGAGTAGTTCTGAGTAGCGTTTCTTATAGTACTCGACGAGTTCTATCGAAAATTGTAAGGTGAAAAAGCGATTGGACCAACGGTTTGCAAGATACAGCGACATTTGTCGGAAGATCAACAATTTTTAGAGTGAATATATCTCGGAAACCGTTGGTCCAATCGCTTTGAGCCCTGATACTTTTCGACAGAACTCGCCGAGAACTGTCCAGAACTCCGAACAGAACTACTCGGTACTCCCAAAAAATTTTCCGACGTGGGACTTCGAAAAAAATTTTTGGTCAAAATTTTGGTCCAATCGCTTTTTCACCTTACAATTTTCGATAGAACTCGTCGAGTACTATAAGAAACGCTACTCAGAACTACTCGGTACTCTCAAAAAAATTTTCAAAGATTTCCACTATTTTTTTTAAACTTTATTATATTTCAAAAATGTTTTTTATGTATCAAGAACTCTAGGTATTCACAAAATAGTTCTGTTAAGCTGATCAGAACTATGCGACCTTGAATTTCGTTAAAAAGTTAGCACCTCATTTTTAAAAAATTATTAAAAAATGATTATTAAGCGCATATGTCATTAAAATCATAGAGAACTCTTCGTATCGTCATAAAGAAACAGGAATTATCATCAGAACTATTGTATCTAAAAATTAATTTTCAAAAATTTTTAATTTTTTTTTATTATTCAAAAATTTTTTTTACATATCAGGAACTCTAGGCAATCGCAAATTGAAGCTATTAAGCCGCTCAGAACTATTCCACCTTGAAATTCGATAAAAAGTTAGCACCCCATTTTTAAAAAATGCAAAAAAAATATTTATTGAGCAGAACTGTTGTTATTAACTATAGGGAACTCTTCGTATCGTCAAAAAGAAGCAAGAATTATCATCAGAACTATTGTATTCAAAAATTAATTTTTCAAAAATTTTTAATTTTTTTTTTATTATTCAAAAATTTTTTACATATCAGGAACTCTAGGCAATCGCAAATTGAAGCTATTAAGCCGCTCAGAACTATTCCACCTTTAAATTCGATAAAAAGTTATCACCCCATTTTTAAAAAATGTTTATTGAGCGGAACTCTTGTTATTAACTAATAGGGAATTCTTCGTCTCGTCAAAAGGAAGTGGGAACTCTAATCAGAACTCCTGAGTACTATAGTTGGGGTGCTAACTTAACATACCCGAAAAAATCTATACTTATTATAATTTTATGATTTTTATATATGAAAATAAAGGATATCTATGTTAAAGAAATTTATATTAAAAACACGGTTTATTATTTTGATTATTTAAGAAATATTTTGTATGTTATATTTTTCAACGATTATAATTAATGAAATTTTTTTTCTTAATGATCTTCATTATCTGTAATTCGTAAAAAGTGTACGAATTTTTGAGAACAATATAGTATAATTTTTAAATATATATCAGACACCTTATTTACATTTCTTATTATAGATAGGTCAGAGGCATGGAGGTTTCTTAGGATTGTTACAAAGAGCTCTTGCCCGTGCCTCTCCACATATATGGTTTGAACGTTCTGAGGTCAAAGATAGAGAAGCAGTTGCGATAAGGTATGATTACTTATACGCAATTATGTTTTTCTGTCATACCTATTTTGTATTCTACATAGATTATTAGTTTCATATTCTGTATGAGTTATTAATACATTACACTTTTTGCAGGCTAAAGAAACACGTATCTGATCCTACAAACCCACCGATACTCATATTCCCGGAGGGTACCTGTATCAACAATACATCAGTTATGCAATTCAAAAAAGGCAGTTTTGAAGTGGACAGCATTGTTTATCCTGTAGCTATAAAAGTAATTTTTTATTGTATTTCTTACACATATACTTTTGTACAATATTTTTCAATATTCATAAATAGAAATGAGCATACAGCCACAACGCAAGATGTCATTTGCAAAAGTCATATATTTAAAAAAGAGACAAATTTTTTCAATATTGTTAAAATGTTTTGTTTTTGTTTTTTAAATATATAGTATGACCCAAGATTTGGAGATGCATTTTGGAACAGCAGTCGATATTCGATGTTACAATATTTATATATGATGATGTCTAGCTGGGCTATAGTTTGCGATGTATGGTATCTCCCTCCAATGCATAGGAAAGAAGGAGAGAGTGCCATTGATTTTGCGAATCGAGTGAAATCTGTGATAGCGCGGCAAGGTGGTCTTGTTGATCTGCAATGGTATGTTCGACACTAGTTTAAAGTTTTGTAAGAAATGGGAATTGGAAATAAAATTGATATACTTATTTTATGAATGATAGGGACGGCCAACTGAAGAGGATGAAGCCAAAGAAGGAATGGAGAGAAAAGCAGCAAGAAGAATTCAGTAAACGATTAAAAGTCGAATAAATAGTAATATCATTTCTAGTCATTGTTTCATATTACATGATATTTGTCTGTTTAAACAAAATTATTTAATTCAATTGGCTTCTCTGTTACATATCATTTTCATATACATCATAATTATAATGAAGAAAATTGTTGTATCCCTTTAGTTTGCATTATTAAATTTTAGATATAGATATGTTTGCAAATATAACAGTTTGCACTTTTTTGCTAAATTAGTAAATACAAATAATTGGCATTCTGACATTACGTGAGATGATGTAATATTGTATATTTGCAATTACACAAGTAACTTTTTAATATAATTTTTAAATGAATTTGTGTGCTGTGTGGCTTATGCCTTGAGAGATTCGAGTTTTCATTTGAAGTGTAAATGTAATATTTGCTATAATTTTTAGTAATAAGGTTCGTTGATTGCAAAGGCATTACGAACTTATTATTTATGTGCGGAATGTGTAATTATTAAAGCGTGTGATATTTTTTGCATGTGAATGTATGTAGCATCAAGAAACTTTTTGATTATTTATAATATGAAATTATTGAACAGTCAAACATTTTAGATGCATTAATGTTCCCTTGTCTATTAGAAAAAATTGTTTTAGTTTTTCCTGTAGTTAAAAGAGAAACAAAATATTTATTAATTTTTCTTAAGACTTAGCGAAATGACAACTTAGCACCCCAGATTACCAGTCCTTTAAGAGTACTGTGCACACGATTGCATTATGTTATTTTTCTATTAAAACTGAATAGCATCTCAATATATATATTTTCTACTTTTATATTTTACATATATAAAATGTAAAGATTTTTAGCGTTCTATATTGCGATTGCATGTCAGTATAATATATGATTATGAATTTAATATATAAATAAGACATACGCGTGTGCATATTCATGTATCTGTGAATTCAATTAAAAAGACTACATTAAGAGAATGAAAAAGAAAGATATACAAGTATGAAGAAACGGAAGATGTATTTTCTCATACTTCCAACCAAAGTTAAATAGCAGATTTAAAATAAGTGCTATTTTACTATTGATGGCATTATTATAATAACTAGTAGTAAGTCAATAATAGATGTTATTCATTATTATTAATTTAAATGAAGATGATATCTATTATAAATTCATACTATTTGTTATTTTATTATCTGGCCTAATTCCTATTATAATTATAAAATTAAGTATTTATATTTTATAAATATTTTTTATAAAATAGTAATATATGATTAACTATTTTGGCGATAAACTTAATAAATTTATTTTAAACCTATTTTAAGAAAAACTAAAAAGAATGGTAATTAAATAAAATAAATGATATTATTTAAATGATACAATTATTGCGTGGGGAAAATAAATTATAAGTCGATTTATTTTCCGAATTTATTTTTATCATATTTTAACATCATTAATATGCTTATTATAAAACATGCATGCATTAATTATTTCGTAAAATTAAATTTCTAAATGTCACTGTAAAATTTCTTTCATAAAACAAACAGCATAAAATATATTTTTATAGCAAATAATTAGTCAATAATATATAAAAGGGGTGTGTGTGTGTGTGTGAACACGCGCGTGTGTAACTATATTGCTTATTAAAAAGTAGGGATTCTTGGGATGTAAAATTATTTCATCTGTTATAAATAAAACTGATTTGTTGTATAGCATGTATATATATTTGTTATCACTTTGTTTATATTGAAGAAATGTATTATATAGTGTGTATGAATTTAATAATTTGAATGGCATTTGTTTATAATTAATATCTGTCGATATATGTAAATGTAGTTAAATAAATTAAAGCATATTAAATAAAAATTGATTTGATATGAAAGTGTTGTGCAGTATATCATGTAAAAATAAAAAAAAGTTGTTTAGATACAAAGATGGTACATTAGTTTCTAATAGTAATTAATTATATAATTAGGAAAGCAAATGGCACTATATTAAATTTCTTAATTTTTAGGATCAATATATTGTCAATTTTTTCGATTACATAACAAAATTGGTGTCAAGCTAAGAACTGTATTCATAAATGCTCTGTTCAAGCATATATATTTGTTTTCTCTTTCGGAGCTTATTCCGTAAATAAGTAAACAAGTTGAACTAACATAAGAACAATAACTTTGAATACAGATCTTTGTTACATTAATTATTATAATGGACAAACTATCGAACTTTTTATTTTTTAGTTTATCGATTCTTTATAGCTTAGTGCATTAGATAAATATCAAATATATTATACGATACTATTTTTCATTAGCAATACATATAATGCTCTAACGCTTTTAATAAATAAAGCACTAATCTCTTTGGCATGAGACTCAAGTAATAATGATGAAAAATATAATAAATAAGTTATTAACGGTATAAACGACTGTTTCTACTAAGTAAGTTTTTAGAATATGCTGTAATTAAAAAGCAACACAAATCAATACCCTGATTGATTATGAAGTTTTAAATTTTAAAATTATAGATTATTATATAACTCCTTGTAATTCACTTAAACTTTTACTCTGATTTTGTGCTCAATTAGAAAACAACTTGGTATCATATGACTGTATTACGATCATGTAATCATTATATTATTCATTTGAATGAAACAGATATGCAAAAAGCATATGCATTATTTGCTGCATACTTGTTGAATATATTTATAAACAATCAATATCTTCTCATATTTTTAAAATTAAGTTAACATATAAGACTATAGTCTCGTTGTTAACAAGTATGAATGACTTATATAAACATTAACACACATAAATTGTTTTACCACTAGATCACAATGGCTCTTGGTAATATTTAAATAACTACATGTCGCGATTAAATTATAACTACTCTCATAATCATGTTATAAAAATCGAATTTGTAAAATAAATTATAGTATTATAACAAACAGAAAATTGCAAAACATTAATTGTTTCCATTATATTTAATGCATATTGTATTATTGATAGCAAATCCGTTAAAAAATGGTTAGTATAAAATGTAAAATGTTTCCAAAGTTTTTTGTTACAATTAAAGCTATGTATGTATACCTTTTATATCAAAATTTATAAAAAATATATATTTTCCACGAATATATATATCCAAAGTCATATTGAAATAAAGTCTTTGATCGCAAAAAAATGGACGTTTCTATAGTCTGCTACGCATTGTAATGGATATTACAGCAAGCATTTAAGTTATAATAAAGCAATATTAAAACGTTCAATAATGTGCTTGTTTAGAATAAACGATTGTTAAAAGCAAATTTTGTAATTTTCATCGTCATGTAGCACAAATTCTTTCCTTTTTTCCGTTTTATCAATAATCTAAAAATCTTTAATCTCTTTGAAGCACAAAACTTCGCTACATATAAGAATAGAAATATAACAAATGCATTGCTATAGTATCAGATAATGACGTCGTTATAGTCCTTGTCACATGTGCGTATTATAAATCATAAAATATTATATCTTTTAAATCCATATTAACTTTGGATTCCTTTGTCAATGACATTGCTCGTTCAATATAAAAGTAATACTTTCTGTTGTACAGAGTAAAGGATGTGTGTCACAGTAGCGTATACTTATTAGCTTATCCTAAACCGCGAAAGAAAGGCACAAAGAAATATATTATAATGCTAACTCTAATGAATGGTAACTCTAAATATTGACAATACAAAAATTAAATAGAAAGAACGCTTTTATAAACGTGGATGATTGCTTATTTCGTTCACAATGTTTGGCAAGGTGAACAACGTGAGATGTCTGCAGAATTTTATATTATATTATGCGGTCGACGAATCCTCAACAAGTGAGTTTTCGACATCGTTAGAGACAAATGTATTCTTGTTCAAATTGTGAACCGTTCTTTTTGGTTTCGGTGGAGGTGTTGGCGGTTTAGAGTGACTGTCTACATCATCATCGGTAGGCGTCGGTAATTTGTTTTTCCACTGTCCCGAAGACTTATTCAGATTATTCAAAGCAGATCGATTAGTGGACAATTCTTCTGAAAGATTACAATAATCTGCTTCACGCATTTTAATTGGTAAAGGTGGTGGTGGGTCATCTTCAGATGCTGTACTATCGGTTGTGCCAACGCTATCTCTATTTCCTTTCCCTAAACCGCTTGATTCCAATCCATTGTTGATATTTCTTAGGTAGTGAGATTGACCAGACCAACGATTACTCATTCTTTTTTCTTTTTCCGCTTCCGATCTCAAGGGACGTTTAGGTGTGAGCTGTATGCAACGAAAATTATAGTTATTAATTATATTTACTTCAAAGTCATAAGTAACAAGGCAATGTTCAAAGTCTTTACCTCTTGTCGAAGTTCGAATATATGCGTTGATTGTAAATTAGATATTAACGATGTAACAGACGATGTTGCTTGTTGAATTGAACTAGATATTTCGGTTGTGGTATACCACTGGCTGGTCGGTTGATCGGTTTTTGTCACTGTGGCAGAATCACTCTTTCGCGAGCTTTTACGCTTCGAATCTTTTTTCTTATACGTTCCTGGACTCGGATTTCCCAATGCTTTTTGCAAAGAGGCCGTTGACAAGATGTGTGAACGAAGAGAGTTGTTCCTACAGATTAAAAATATTCGCGCGATTAAAGATGTCTTTGTTATTTAAAAGAGAAAATTTGTAACTCTGGACAGATAAAAAAGAAAAAGATCAACTATTAATTGAACAATGCAACTCATGATTGAGTAGATAAGCGAGATTGAATTTTATAATAAAATAAATTAAAATTTATTATTGTTAAATTGAAATTTTCACAAAAAAATAAATTAAAATTTACAATAATTGTTAAATAAAATTTTCTAAAAGTTATGCGTCTGCTAATATTCGTTGAGGGATCACTGTGGTAAGAGAAATATCGAATAATAATTGCGATGCCATTCGAGCTTTGCAATAATCTCGTAACACAAGTGTATTTTTAATTACCTATCGTAGTTATTGTAGACTTAGGAAGTTTAGTAGAGATTGCCAGTTGTGTGTGAAGAAGATA